TTTATCTGCAAAACAACACAAATATAGCCACTCCTCCACCCAAACTTTATCTTTGCCAGCCTCTCCATCCTGCCAATTGCAGGAGATCTCCTCACACACTATCAATTTTAGCTTGACCATACAAGTAAAATATCAAAACTCCCAAGTCTTGCCCCAGCAACTGTTAGTATAGTCTACAAATATTACAGTTCTAGGTGGTGGTTGAACAGTAAAATTTGGTAATAGTTATCAATACATTCCCCTTTTAGATTTACTTACTCCTCCTGTTTCTGTATGGCATTTTATAATACCTCTCTTTTCACCATGTATTAGTGCAGAATATCCTAAGCTATGGATTGCCAGACTATTTGACTGGGGCATAGATAAAATAATCTCTGCTTGATAAAATAAAACTGGCCATTATTAACCATTTCTTTCCTATTCTGAAATTCTAGATTCTCTGAAGACCAAGTAATGAATAGTTTTATAAGGATACGAGTCATCTTGGTAGGCGTGGACAGAATACTGGATCATATCTAGTATTATGGGATGCCTTTACGTGCTACTGTCTACAAATACTGCCAGCACAATGCTCAGTTCCCTCTGCAAGATACTACTACTCCCTCTGTGCAAGCCAAGATACTGACCAGCTTCAATATTCACCTTTTTTCTGGTCACATATAATGCACATCTACTAAATGCACTATGAATGAAGACATATATACTTTTTTTTCTTTCTTTTGTTTTTTATCTTTTCATTCAGAAGGAAAGAACGTATCATGAGCTTGGGTAGAATAAAGAGGATTTAAAATTTATATACAATATATTCAAATAAGCCCAATACTGCTTACAGAAGCTCAACCCTCTCCAATAACAATAGCAAAAACAACAGTAGCAATAACAATAAGGATAATAGCAATGACAATAACAATAACAATAATGATGATAATTATAATTATTATAGTAGTTGTAATAATAATAATAATAATAATAACAATAATAACAATGAAATTGAAGCTCATAAAAGTAATAATAATAACAATAATAATAATAATAAAAAATAATAGAATAACAAAACTAATTAAATCATATCAAAGTGGTCAAAACAATAGCAATGGATATGACAGTTCTTGATGTGAACATTGCTCTTGCCACCAACCAAAAGCTTGCCGACTGTGCTAAAAAATTTCACCATAGCTTAAAAGGAAGCTGCTCATGGTTTGAAACCATCTTGGGAAAGGGTAGAGTGAGGGAGGGGAGGAAAGAGGGGGGGAGAGGGGGAAAGTCTTGCTCCCGCTCACACCCCACATCCGTCTTGCGTCCACCTCTTGCATCCATCCCCTGTATTCATCAATCCATCTACCCATCACCGTACCGCCTTGCAAAGTCTATCTTGCATTGTTTCCTTTCTTCTTTCTTTCTTTCTTAATTCCACCCCAATCAAACAGCCAATCAAACCCGGGTTTCCCCCCACCCCCCACCCACCCCACTAATTGTGCGGTGCTCGTCTCACCGACGTTACTTCTTACTTCGAGTCTCACCTGATTTAGTAAGGCCACCGACCGCATAAATAAGGCCTACAATATCATTACAGCATCTAGGTCTTGTTCGGAAGCTTTGAAGGAGTGGACGGCGCTCAGGCATCAGGTGGTAGTCTTTTGCTTCGTCCAGGAGATCTCTGGGGGTGTGGGGATGTTGAGGTTAGGAGACAATTATAAAGTGGATGTAGAAAACTTTATGTGTGTGCACACACACACACACACACACACACACACACACACACATATTTTCATAACTACCAAGGGGGGAAAAAAAAATCAGTTTTCACTTTACTTTGCCACAACTGATTTTCACACTGTCCCCAGGAAGAAATAAAAAGGCAGACGACATACAGTCAGAACGGAAACACACATACAGAGGGGCTCTTACAACTGCATGCTCACCGTCGCCCACTCACCTGCACTCGTGGGATGACCGTATCAGGTTCTCGGTTCCCACACAGTCAGTCAGGTACTGGGGTGTGAGGAGAGGCATTCGTACCTTCGTGAGCAACTCAGGTAGGTGGTCACTCCGCTGGTCAAGGTCTCGCTTTACCCAAGACATTATAGCCTCAAAGACCTAAAAAAAGACAAAGTTAGAGGAAAACGGGACACTAGGAAGGAAGAAGAAAGAAAGGAGAAGCAGCAGAAAAACAAAAACAAAAAAACTTTACAAGGTAAATCACAATCAAATAGCAACTCCTGAAATTGTATTTACTTTCACCATGGCTCACCGCTTTTTAAATGTACAGTCCTATTTGCAAACATCATATCACCACTTTAAACAAGCTATTGGGATAAGGCAGCACCCCCCCCTTGTTACATTTACATTACATCTATGCAATGTAAACTATAAACTCTGCTTCTATCTGATTAGCTAGTTTCTTCCTGCAGCAAACCCCACTATCCCTATACCCAAATGCTCTTGTAACCCCTCCTGAGACAGACAGACAGACAGACAGACAGACAGATAGAGAGAGAGAAGTGCAAGTGCACATGCATGTGTCCATGTGTGTGCCGAGAAAAAAGCACACCAAATACCACATGCATTTGTAGGTATTTATACTTACACACTCCTCACTAGGTGCATTCAACTCATCCCTGGAGATGATTTCTCTAACATCAGAAAAGTTGAGATTCAGGAACTCCTCTGATACTGACACGTCTACGAAGTGCTTCTGCAGATAGCGGTTACTTGCCTCAACTAGTGACCAGCAGGCAAGGGTGTCAGCAAAGGCACGAATGCCAAGGACATTGTGTGGGTGTAATCTGCAAAAGAAAATGGAATAAAAGACATTAAATACAAATACAATCCAAGACTAAAAAGTTTAGCTGTAGTTATTCTGCAACAACTAGTTTAGTATGGAATTTCCTCTTTCTAATACTGGGAAATCATGAGCTTCTTTTAAAAACGATGTTATACGTAATTTGTCATCCTCCTTCCCTTGTCATCCACAAGAAATCTCTCTATTTCCATCTTAAGAATGTATAATTTGCTGTCTTCTTCTAAAATACAACATCTACCTCTATCTGAAACATAAATCTCTTTCTCTATCTGTCTCCCAGTAAAAAGACATATATCATTTCCACTTAATAAATATCAATTGTTTAGATTTACAAAACTATCATTCTCTAATTGAAAAATATACCGTATATCCATCCATATACTTCTTAAGAGACATATTTCTCTATCTGGACAATGAATGGCAATGATGTATACCACAGAGTGGCTAGAATCTGGGTGCCTACAATATATATCAGTAGACAATGGAGGCTGATCTCTGTTGTATGTGCTATAAAGGTGTGGAATTTTATAGCTTGAATGCTACAAGTTCCTGTGGTGCAACCTTCCAAAGTCAGCCTACACTCTTCTTTTCATGCTTTTATTGAAAAACAGCAATTGGCTTGTTCGGAATCAAATAAGAGTGGAAGTCATTGTTCCTGCCCTTCCAATCCCTGTTTTGTGCAGCTGACCTTGGTATCAATCCTAGCTTAGTGGCAAGTGTGTTCTAATTATTTTGTGATGCTACTGACCTATCTATCCACATCTGTCTATCTCCATTCAAGAAATTTCAATCTATCTACATCTAACAAACATATATATATCTAGCAATCTCGATGTCAAAGTCTAAAACATGGGGTGGAAAAATCACTCCTTTCAAGCACACACTCAGAATGTTCCTAAACCATCCAGAAATAATACCTACCCTATATATCTTTACGGTTATGTAATTTTAAGGAACAATGGTTTAAAGCCCAGAGGGAGGTGGGGGGACTTGTTAATTTTGGATCTGCAGCGTGTATAAAATGGGTGATTTTCCTCTGAAATTTTCCACTAAGAATGTTTCTTAGTTGTGGGGGAAAAGTTTCCTAAATTCTGGAAATGGCCACTGGGTAGGCAGAGTGAGTTGGGTCTGAGCCAGCCAAGTTCTGTGATGCAGAGCGGCAGCATGTGCTTTTGTTTACCTCTTGATCTTCTGTGATGTATTCTCATGTTCATAATTCATTCACAACACCCACCAAGGAGGATGAAAGAAATTAAAGCACGTCACTGATCACAAGAAAAGAAGAGATGAATGCTCTAAAATTAAACAAAAGGGAAAATAGATGAACAACTCTACCTCGCAATTTACTCCTTCCGTAGAGGAAGGAGTATTTGTTAGATGCAGATAGATTGAAGTTTCTTAAATGGAGATAGATAGATCAGTAGCATCACAAAATAATTAGAACACACTTGCCCACCCACCCCAAGAATGCAAGAGAAATTTGATATGAGAGATAAAATAAAAAAATATCTTCATGGAAGAAAATGTCTTGAGTTTGTACTGGCAGAAATGAAGTGCCTTTTGCTGAGAATAAATTAATTCATTTGATGTGTGTGTAGGAAAGATGACTCAGAGTACTAACAGTTGCGAGGTTTGCGGAAAAAAGAAGGAAATAACCATTGATCAGAGCAATTTGTGCAACTTGTAAGTATTCCTCCAAATGTACAATTTTCTAATAGAACACTTTGAAAATTTTTGGGTACTTATCTCTTTAAGTAAAAGAGTATGAAGAAGAAGAAGAAGAAGAAGAAGAAGAAGAAGAAGAAAGAAAAAAAAAAAAAAGGTAAAGAAATTAACTGCATACAACCATACCAAATCTTCAAAAGGCCCTATCTCCTTCCAAGGTGATTGACTTGGGATTAATGAGGTATAAATTTCATGATAGGGTACCTGACATTTTTGAAAATATGAAGAGTTGGGAGTAAAAAGTAACTGTAAACTGCAAATGCTCTAGAATTCAAAATGTGGCACTTTTGGGCATCTTATGATACTGCAACACTTGTGGAAGCTATATATGGGCTTGGAACACATCTGCTGAAAACACTTCTTTTTTTTAGCTGTGCACTGTGTACATCAAGATCATTTGCTAGTTTTTCTCGCATTTGTCATTTGAAGGTATATTTAAAAACAAACGTTCTGCTGCGTATGATATATCATAATACCTATACTTTCCAATATTCCTCACAACTCTATAAAATACATTGCCAGTGATATACAATGCAGAGGTGCAGAATTAGCTAAACAGAAACACCTATGCAAAATAATAGTTCATTACACATTCCTTGACTGTGTAATAAAATGGAAACTTAATATCTGTTCCATTGGAAAGTTTCCAAACTATATAAGGTTTGTCTGGTAACTTTTTCATTGATGACAGCCAACAGATTACATCTATTTTATTTTGCACTTTCACCGTCTTTTTTTGACTTCCACCAATAGTTCCCTTAAGACATAAATCTCTTTCCATTCAAGAGCCACATAAGTATCTCCATCCAAAAGACAAATATTAATCTCATCTTAGAAATATTTTTCTAGAAAAGAATATATGATGCTTTATCAGACACACCAGTAAGAGAAAACATGTATGACTAATAACTTAATCTGTTGTAATTGAATCTATTCCTTTCAAAATTAAGTCAAGACAAAAATTATTTTGCCATAAAATTTCTAATGAAAACAAACAAATTAGTGTAACTATAACGAAGCAGAAAAGGAAACCGAACAAAAGCTCAAAAGATTTTGTTCATTCTTAACCCTTTCACTGTGCTAAACCTAGAAACAACACGAACCTCTTCTCTGGCATCCGTTTTACTCTAATATCTACAAACCGAGCACAAAATCCATTTTCATTTTTCATTTTCATGATAAGTATAAGTCAGGGTGAAGTTTAGATTTTTCCGGATAAACATTCAAACTCTTTCTTTGGCAGTGCTCTGGATGGAAACAAATGTAGATCCATTTATTATTCTTTCACTGTAGATTTTGGTCAAATTGTTTAGTGGAGTATTTTTCACTTAAGCCATAGTGGCATATTACAGGGAAAGGGTTAAATCCTAATCTAAGCGGCTGCGGATAATGAAACGCTAAACAAAGCCTTTGGTTGGAAGGTTTCATTCCTTGCACAGTTCCACTTACAGGCACACAGTCATGATTCACAGCAACAAGCATAATCAACAAAAGCCATTCTCTTAATACAAAATATAGTTATGATTTTAGCATAAAACTAGACATTAGCTATCTAAACAAAATTTTCAGGGGTTTGATTTCAAAGACGTAGATAACACCTATTGCTGAGCTTGGAATTTTAGCCATATTAGCACATTAGATGATCTTACTGTTCCCCTTTGAAAATTTACATATCACTATGGGTGATAATAATGCACATTTTTGTCTGTGTGCGATGTTAGCAACAAAATAGCAAGGGCTTCTTGTAGCTATAGCACATAGATAATGATTTGACACATTTTTCTTTGATTCCTAATGATTTTGGCATAATAGCTGTAACATCAAAACTCTGGAAGGGTCCCAAAAATGAAGCCTGAAGTGATACCCTCGCGAGAGTAACCCTAAAGCTTTTGGTATTCTAAAACTACCCTCACCTTTCCCCGAGCGGTTTGCAGTCCTGGCTGAATTTATAAAAAACAAAATTATATATATTATATTTCAGAAATTTTGAGTGCTCTATCTGATTATTGTTACTATACTTTAGTTTTATTTCTTTCTATCATTCAGTATTTATCTGGTATGATAAAATCTGGGTGCAAATAATAAATATATACAAATATGAAGCTATTTACATTAAATGATGTAACAAGCTATGAAAAGAAAAGAAGAAACAAAAAGGAAAAAAATCACAAACACACATACACACAGACATACACAATATATATATATATATATATAATATATATATATATAATATCTATATAATATATATATATATATATAATACATACAATACACATACACATATACTATGCACACCAAACACACACACACATACATATATACACATATATATATATGAACATATATAATACAACACCATACACCACACTTTTGTGTGTGTGTGTGTGTGTATGTATATATATTATAATTATAATATATCATATATATATCTATATATAGATAAATATATATATATAGATATATATATATATCATGTATATATATTCATTATATATATATATATATATATATATCAATATATATATATATATATATATATATATATATATATATATATATATTATATCATCTATATATTCATAATATATATATATATATATATATAGATATATATAATATTATATATTATATAATATATATATATAATATATCAGTATAACATATAGTATATTATATATAATATACTATAGATATATATATATATATATATAT